TTAATAAGGTATGTAAAAAGTTTATTTATGTGACATATGAAGAGTCTTAAATCTATGATATTAAATAAAATATTAAAAACGAATAATTAACTAAAATATATTATTAAAAGGAGTCCCTAAGGAGGAGGAGGAGGAGGGCGAGGTTTCGAAGATACTGGCAGCGTACCCCCTTTGAATAGCTATACTAATTCTTTGTCCGAGGTAGCTGCCAGCTCTTTGCCAACTCGGGTCCAGCAGATGTTTGACAATTTACTAATATTTCTTATACCATTCCAACTAAGCTTTAATCTTGTGCTAAGATTTAGTTTACGAGTAGTCGCATAGTGGGATTCGAACTCTCGATCACGTGATCGAAAATCCGTACCATTAACGATGAGGATATTGAAGCTTTAAAACAAAAACATATTTCTCTCTCTCTCATACTCTAAGAATAAACTGAGATGAGAAATGTTTTGCAAAATCCTGTATTAAAATGTATTTATGTGCTTTAAAATAGAATAAAACCCAAGCATTTGGCACAGTAACAGTACAGTTAAAGCGGACGATGTTATTTCATTGCAATCGGAACGAAGTTTATTCAGCCATCCGACGATGAATTTGCATTTGACTAAAGTTGATTGAAATTTAATTACGTACTGAATGTGCGTCGAAATCAACTATACTATATCTAGACATGCTTTTAAATTTTATATGTTGTAATTAAAACAAAAATATTTGAGTAACAGTAACAATATTGTTTTCCAATATTTTGAAGTGAAGCTTTTCACATTGCTCACAACTTCTTACGGTGAAAAAAGTAAGCAGTAAGTAAGTTTCGCTGTAGCACTTTTGAACGTGTCATTTATTTTCATGTATTAATTCTTAATTTCCCAAGTATTTTGACTTTTTTTTAATTTCTCAAATCTTTTTTTTCCAAGTATTCTATTTTTCGTAGTTCTTACGCTTAGTTTCTACGCTTAATCATACTAATATTATAAATACAAAAGCTTAGATGGAAAATATTTTGGATAGGAATTAGTTTTTTTTTTACTCCGCGCGGACGGAGTCATGAGCTGCAACTAGTAATATCATGGGTATCATGGTATCATAATTCAAAGTACATAACGACGAGAATTTGCTTAAATAAATACAAATTATAAACGCGGTTTTTGCTGTCGACAACAGAGTCTTCTCAATAAAGCTGTCACAATGTAGCGTTTACAGTGACAATCAATTAACTGAGGTCATATCGCGTGTTCCAATCATATCCAGATAGTGTTGTTATTGGGAAACCGTTCGGAATAGAGATAATAAACAAATTAATATTTTATTCAAGTGAATCTTTTTGGAACATGGATGAGTTCATGTTTACTTAACTAAATCTAAAACAAGTTTTGTAATAATAAACCCTAAGCATGCAAAATCCTTTTAAATAAAATAATACGCATATATACATTCATTTATGTCTTCTTGTTATAATTGTGGATCTTACTTGTATTATAAATACGATTGTTTGGATGTATGGCTAGATGGACGCTTGTTGGAAGATATCTCCTAAACGGTTAATCGCATTTTGATAAAATGTGGCTCAGTAGAAAATAGCTTGGATGGACATAGGCTACTTATTAAGTTTTTCATTTTTAATTTCGCTTAAACGTAATCGCGGACAGCATCTAGTAAGTAATAAATGTGAAATTTTATGTTTTAAAATAAAACAAAGTTTTGTAATTATAAAAAATGAAAAGTTTTAATAATAGACAGATTAACAATAAAATTACGTTAATCCCACTTCGCTTACATTTGTAACAATTTCCTTAAGGTCTTCTTAATTTATTAGCGGTGAAATTTAAAGCTGTTAAGTTAAAATTAACACCTAATTTAATTCAAAGATTGAAGATTCATGACTTTAAGATGTTTGTTATTAATTGGGTATTATAGGATTTTAGTTATAATATGAGGTTCTTAAATGATGTTGAGAGCGAGGATGGGAATCAGGGGTTATGCACTTGACTTTTTATCTGCTCGTCCAGGTTCGAATTCCGCCATGTACCAATGTATTTCGATTTTAAAATGTACATTTATCCAACGTCCTTATGGCGATGCAAAAAATCGTGATGAAACTGCATATATCATCAAAGAAATTCAAAGATATGTATGAAGGCCATACTCAAACCGCACTGGACCAGTGTGGTTTGAGTATGGCATATTCTTCCAATACTCTCAGTGCGGATGTATATATAGTAAGCTGATTGTGATGATGATGAATTGATTTAATTGAAGTTATATAATTCTCTCTATTCGTTGTTTCATAGAATATAGTCAATTACTTTATTATAGTGTAATTCTGGGTGTAATGCTCATTTTGTTTTATTTAATTTGATAATATCAAACCAAATTTTAATTTAAAATAAACTTAGTAAACATTCCTTAATTTAGAATATATCTTCTCTTAATATAAAGTTTTACACATGTTCCCTTAAAGATAAACCTGTACCTTACATGTAATAAATTAGGTACGGTCTAGGAACTTGAGAAATACAGTTTCCGTAGCAAAATTAACGAGGCTTACGTCACCCGCGGCTTGCGACCATCGATTTTCCATTTAAAACCGCCTACCTCTTTGTGTTTAAGTAATTACAATTTGCCTTTTCACTTGACGCTTTACTACACTCGCAAATACTCCAGACTTCGTACCTTCTAATATTTTTTTTTATTTATACAAACTTACACTCCAACAATGAAATTAGAAAATTGTCTAGATACTATGTCGTAATTTATATTGAAAACAAAACGTTATGAATTTTCACAAATAAAGGTGAATAAATGTTAGAAATCCGTGCAATGTTTGTCTAACAACATGGCACTTGATAAAAGACAAGGAAAAAGGAAATATACGCTCGACGCAACTCGACGCAGGTGCGAGCGGAAATCTCATTCCCTCGGTCAACAACTGGATGAGCTCAGACAACTATACGAGATTAAAATAACATACACTGAATAGTACTCTGTTTTAAAAAGAATGATTATGGAAGTTTCTAGAATTTGTTTTTTTTCTTTCCAAGTTTATCGTCTATTTAATTTGAACATTTCATGATAATAAAAGCTTAAGCTTAAGTTGATTTTGATAATGCAAGTAGCCTTTTATCATGTGTTTACGTTATGTATTATGTTATTATATTGTGTGGCACTCTCTATATAGCACTCTATATAACAAGGTTCGCCATTGACTTATGACATCAAGGAGGACGTCGTTGTTATGTTTTACGCCAAAAATATTTTCCTTTTCTTCAAAATATTATGTAATAGCTGTCGCCCGCGACTCCGTCCGCTTGGATGTATAAAAAACTTAATTAGTGTAACCTATGTGTTCTTTCAGACTATGTTCTATACGTAAGCCAAATTTAATCGAGATCGTTCAGCCGTTCTAGAGATATCTTCAAACACCCATCCATCCATCCACATCACATCCATCTAAACATTCGCATTTATAATATTAGTAAGTTAAATAAAAAGCAGCTCTTCAAGGCACAGATTCGAAATAAAAAAATAGTATCCTATGTCCGTCTCCAGGCTTTAAGCTACCTCCTCACCAATTTTCAACAACATCGGTAAAGCCGTTCTTGAGTTATAAATAGTGTAACTAACACGATTTTCTTTTATATATAGAGATAGACACACTATAGAGTAAACATAAGGCGGAGTCTGAAGAGATATTTATTGTGTCAAATGTCAAACTTATCCGACACATTGGGCATAATAAAAAAGTGTAGTTCCGGAACGGAGTACACGTTTTATACAATGGAGGCCGTTATATATCCTGACGGTCCATTTGTTTCACGAAGTATCCGGCCCTCTGGTTTATTGCGTCTGTTCGTATATCTTTATGAGTTATTTTATGATCAATAGTGGTATGAAATTTACGAGCATATTTTTTGTGTTTCTATTTTCTTTGTTGTTTCATTTTCCTTGAATTTTACACTGTTAAAAATTTATCTATTTATATACTTTGTTATCGTTTGATGAAGTTGGTGACTGATTTTTATTATCTTCTTGGCAAACGCGGCAGGAATTTAATTACTGTTAAAAGTACATTTGCCACAAAACATTTTAAATTCCTTGCATCCTACTTATATAATATTTTAGATAAAAAGTCCAATATAAAAAAAAAATCTAAAAGCGTATAATTTAAGAAAAATTACAAAGGAATGGCTGATGGAGTTGGATTACCACACATGTGAAAATTTATTCCAACGTAATAACTAAGTCATCACATCCATATTCACTTATAAATATACACATACACACATTTACACATACTCACACACACACACACACACACCCCTACACACACACACCTACACACACACTCAAGTAATTGTTAATTCATAAATTAGTTGTTTTTCTACACAAACAATTATTAAATTTATATGTATGGGAAGTCCTTTGCTCCTTAAGTACAGGTCTTCCTAGTTAAGGAGCCATGGCAACATTGAATTTGGAATTTCTTGTGTATCTTTATTGTTAAGATTTTTTCATTTTTTTTCATTAATTAAAGCTGTCTTACTGTGATGACCCCGTTATATTTTTGATGGTGTTTTGTACATATAATAACTTAGTCTGTTTTTCAATGATGTACATTTTTAATTAGATGAAATATCCACAATGAACATTCGTAGTAGTCTAATGCAATATGAAGCAGTCAAGTAATCGTGCTTACTAGATATTTTATGGCCAATAATATGATTTATTGTCTTTTTTATGTTATTTTATTTAATTTTTAATACGAGTTTATTAGCATATCGTATAATAATATATTTTTTTTATTATAATACTAAAGCTGTATACCAATGATATGTAAAAAATTAATTTATCTACGGAACACAGTCAAATTACTTCTATTACATTTATCTACCTGATTATTTTCAACACGAAATAATTCTTCAAATTATACGTGGTCAATATGTACACACTTTTGATTTTTTTTTAATAAAATTATTGTCAGTGTGTCTCTACCTTTAAAATAAAAATGTATAGCAAGAAAGTTATAAAAGACGTCGCAGTCACGTTGACTTATATTTGCTGCAAGAAAGCGGATAGGTAATTAAAAGGTAAGTAATATTTACAATTTAATATTGATGCAAGTCAATTGTAAAGAAACTTGCCTGACAGTGGAATACGATTGCGGTAACGTCTGTATTGACATATATTGACAATTCACAGTGGAAACGCACTCTTAAATAGTTAACAAGTTATTACAGCATGCGACGTGTTTTGTTGATACTTGCCCTCGCAACAGCGTGCCTGGCGTACTGCCCGAACCCTGACACCTCCGGATTCAGGAACAGCGAGTGGCAACCGAATAATGTACTCATAAAATTGATGAACTTCTTTTATGACAGTATGTAAGTAGCATTCTTTTTACAATTCATTTTAAAGTACACACATAAACCAATGTAAAGGACTTAATATGTCATTAACACGTTAAATGCCATAGTAGAAATAGAAAAAAAATCACTAATAAAACTTTTTGCTGGAAATAGATGTGTAATTTTGAATCTTCAAAACATATGTTTAGTATCTAGTTTAGGGTTCTATCAGAGGCTGGGTTCCGCAGATGTTATAAAAGAACTTCATGAGATCACAGGTTCCCTACGCGGTGCTTAAATGCAGACAGGGATCCGGTCACCGGTGATCGAAGTGGCGTTTAACGTGTTAATTATGGATTAAATAGTTTAGTAAATTGACATTTACAAGCGCGTACAATCTTCCTACCACATTTCTATTGACGTCATCTCTATTAAAGGATTCTTAAAACGTTTGTTCATGTAAGTTCAAATATTTTCTACAGAGCTCTAACCACAGCGGACACTTGTTCACCACAGAAACGTTTCATATCACTATACGTGTTAGCAAAGACGTATTTCTTGTCTTCTAATGAGACGAATTACGAGCGTGCTATCGCCGAAGGCAGGCACAAAGCGGAGAAGCAGCTCAAACAAACATCTGCGGCGATCGCTGGACCCTTCCGAGGACTTGTTGATAGCATCCTCTCTGTCATTGATCAGGTAACTGCGAGTTCTTAACAGTGGTGGGACCAGTAATCTATGTTTTGTCGAATAACCCGTCCTCTTCTCACTAATTTCATATAAGGGATAGAAAGGGAAAGTGGATTTGAAACTTTCTGACTTATTCTCAATGTCTTTGGATAAGGTCACGTTGCTTCATTATCGAATTCGATTGCCGACAAAAAAGCCCTCGTTAAGTTTTAACGAATCGAATGAAACCAGTATCGTTCGTTTACATTTATTAATGGAATATGAACATATGTTTTCGTAATCTGTACATAATAATAAAATTTCATATTTCGGACATTTTTTGCTGTCTGTATGTCTGTCGGCAAGGCCGCGATTGGTCCAGATAATCTCTGGAACGCCTGGACCGATTTTGACGGGACTTTGACGGGAAGGGAATTGTTGCACGCGGGCATATTATTTTTTGATTCCTTTTTGAAATTCTGCGCTAACGAAGTCACGAGCGATTGCTAGTGAATAAATAAATATTGGCTTTGCAATAATGAAGGCCGTCATTAAAATCCATTGCTTCAATTAACCGGGTAACGTGTATAATTAACTTTGTATTGGAGTCAACCGCTGATTAAATCGCCCCCTTACGGCCCGCGAACGTTATGCCTTAATTATCTCTAATGAACCCATCGACGCTTCGCAATAGTTCGGGTCGACGCATTAAAACCAAATTAAACAATAATTAGAAACATATTAATAGAATTTCGCATTCAATAGATGCACTATCCTAAACTAAACTTTTGTCAGTCTCCATCGTCAACATGAAAAATACGTCCAAAATTTTTTTCATTTCTTAAATAAATTAAATAAGTAATTCCATTATCTTAGTACAAATTATGTCTATAATATTTTATCCCTTTTAATTGTTTTTTGGTGTATCACTAACGTGACCAGACGTCCCGTATTGAACGGGACTGTCCCTTTTTATAGTTACGAGTCCCGGTGTCCCCGACATAAATGCCGGGACGCCTATTGTCCTGTTTTTTTTTTAGCAAAGCCTCTGATAAAATATAAAATAAAACATATAACTAAACGTATTCTATAACCTAAAAGAGTTTGTTAATACATGTAGTCAATCTAAAATTAAACGGGACATTGTTTTGTACAGGTATAATTACCTGCACAAAACAATGTCCCGTTTTGAGCCAAAAAAAATAAATGGCCACGTTATGTATCACACTTTTACCTATATGACATTTGCATCAATGCAAACAGCATAATGTCCGTACACGAATAAATGAATAGACCACAAATGTGCTGAAACATTATAGTGATAAAACTATATAGACCACGAGCCCCGTTCTGACCGCAATAAGCCATATTTATGGCGGTGAAGTGATTATTAAATTAAACACAACTACGTTTATTTGAGTTCACAATTATTATATTCCTAGCTGTAATAATATTTATTGTATTATAAACGTTGTTTATCATTAAATTGAATAGAACAGATACTATGTTAAGGTAATTAAAGGCCTTTTAACAATAAAAACTGCTTTAAGTTTTAAGTTCCTTCCTTCACGTTTTATCGAATATCCTTTCCAAATATTCGCTATAAATCATAAAAATTGTCATCTTATAGACAACATAAAACATGTTCTGATTAATATAAATAGTTGTTAAAATTATTATATAACTTAAACTACGGTAGTACATAAGTGCCAAATAAATATTTCAACCGACTTTCCTGTCGAAGTTAACTTTAAAAGAATAGTTCGGTTTAAATAAAATATCCTTCTTTCCGTTTCACTAACAAACTAAACGGGGCAAGTAATCCTTATGCGCGAAGAATTTACTGAGATTTCGCCAGGGCCGGACTCGGGCGGTGGGCGCGGGGCGCATTCGACGGGCGCGGGCGGTACAAATCCGTACTGAAATCTCAAACCGTCTCTACGTGCTCGAGTGCAAATTCACATCGCTCTTGAGTTGAGCTCTTGAACATCACGATTATAGTCGGCGCCCCACTAACATTTCCGCCGTTGCATTTCAACTTTATAAAATAGTTGTGATAACAGCTAGCATTTAACCAAATTAAAATAATGCGAAGAGAAGATCGTTTGAGGAGAGAAAATGTGAGCTTAAATAGAAGAAAAAGTTCTAACCACTTTTTATAAAATCCTTTTTCGAGTAATGAGTCTACTCATAACATTAATCTTAGCACTAGGAGTCTATGTTACGTTTTATTCAGCTAACAAAATTTATATTACTAATCTAAAGCTAACTTAGTATTCCCTCCAGTCATTGGCAAAACTCGTCAAATTCTTCTAAAAAGTCTATGTACTTTAACGAACGCTGCTGGACACAATTACTACTACACGCAGAATAATAAATTAGTTACCAAGGATACCTTAGATTAAGTATGAGAAATCTACACTGAACAATACTTAAATAACCGTCTAGCGCAGTGGTTCCCAAACTTATTTTGTCTACTGACCACTTTGAGAATAAATATTTTTTAGCGCCCCCATATTTTCACATATTTAAAAACCACTATAACTTCAAATTAAATTAATTAATTATTGTAAGCTATATATGTATATTAACGGAGAATTTAATTTATTCTAAACGAAACTTTTACTATAACCCTCAACTTGAGACCTGCAGCGCTCTCAAGGGGACGTTATCGCCCACTTTGGGAAAGACTGGATTAGCGTAACAATGTCAGTAAAACTCATCTGGAATTTTCTTGTCTATTTGTCCATAGCCATTGAACGACGTGCTAACTAGCTGCAAACCGGATACCTACCAAGACGATTGTAAAGCCAATCTAAATGACTACCGTGCGAGGTTCGAAAAGGAATGTAAAGGTTACCATAACAACGTAGCAGTCCATAGCCGTCTTACCAGATGGGCCAACAGACAAGACGCTATCGATCATACAGAAGACCTAGTACATGCCAGTAACACAATGAGAGGTGATGTTGCAGTTCTGGACTACTTCCAGAAGACTTCTGCTGTGAAATACAAAGACGCCTTAACTGAACTCCAAGGTATAGTGCAGCAAGTAAAGCATGGTGTCTTCAATTGTAATGCTTTGTCGTTTGTTAACATTCATTGCTTGTGAATATTATGTCATAATTTGGATACATTGAATATATGAGGTTCTATAGTCTATTTTTTTTTTTTAATAAATTTTGGCTTGCTTATTATTTTCCTTTCAAAACTTTGTTTTCGTAATTAAAATTGAAAATAGTTGATGCAAACGCCATCTATTATTTAAAACATCAAATTACCTTCAAAGTTGTGGTAACTCAAATTATAGCTCATAGATGGCTCTTTTATTTCTTAGCAAAATAAAAATGTACAAGTAACCAATAGGAAAGGTTTAAATGAAAACTTCCAAATAATTACCCAAAAACATAAAATTTATTTACAAAAATATCTTTAGTAATTAAATAACTTTAAACAATTATGTCTAGTTTTACGTCTAGTATTGAAAAATATTTGAAATTCCTAATATTTAAATAAGAATTGTAAACTGTTAATACACAATTTAAGGCCTCTTCTGATATTTATTTATACAACTCTAGATTATTTAAAAAGAATTCTAATAACAATATGTAATTTTATTAAGAACCATTCGTATAAAGAATGCCACAGGATAACCGTGGCATAAAAAAAAATAGTTAAGCTTAAATAAAAATAATCATATAACTACTGACTAGAAAATGACTAGAAATTATTTTTACAAATCCTAATAACGTACAAAGCAGTCGCTTATTTAAATTTACAAATTACAAAAGACCATGCTAATAACACTTATTATTTGTACGCTCGCTACATTTGTCCCATTCGCTATTCGTTTTACAAATTCGGTTTAACAAGAATTGAAAATAATATTCGAACAATCCCTTCTCATAGTTAAATGCTCGTAATTCTTAATAATACAGTTAAATATCTTAACATAAGAAAGTTAATACTTATTCATGCCTTACAAAACAATCATCATCAAAATTGCATTCTCTGTCATAACGGTAAAAAATTGTTTAATTTAGGATTCTCCTTTTTACGATTCCCTTTTACTCCTATTACTGGTTCAAGACGCTGCAGCAATATTATTTGGAACTATCTCCGACTCTTCATCAGCGGTATCGGCTTCGTTATCCTTTGTAAGAGGTTCCTCAGGCTCGTCTCTCGTCAGTGCTCTGTACTTCTTCGCGATGATCTCCCAATCAACAACATTCTCAATTCGTGTCATATTGTTAAAGCTTAATTGGGAGCCCAATGGACTTAAATGCACAACAGACAGACGTGTGGAATCTAAAATAAAAAAGTAAATATATCGTTTACGAATCTATCCTATCAGATTAACGGCTTCTTTTCACGGTTGCCTTTTTGACGTTATATAGGGACAAAAACTCCTCATGATGTACCTTACTGTCGTTGTCTTTATCAGTTGCACCGAAGTAATTTATTATTTCTAAATCTAATCAGTTTTTGGTCATCAAATTCTTAAAACAATGCCAAAAAAGTTATAAAATCTGTAATTATAAGATGACTAAAAATTTACCTTTTGGTACAACCTGTCCTCGCTTCACCTTGGACAACCATTTCGCCCCTGCCTTCGATCGAGCACTTAATTGATCTTGTCTTTGCATTCCGATCATGTGCACTAAACTTGGTCGTTTCTTCTTTGTTAGTCGACTCTAAAGATAATATGGATGCGGTTAAAAATAAGATAAGAAAATAAAAAGTAAATAACAAGTTGTATAGAATTTATATAACGGAAGAAAGTAAAAGGGGGCTAGTAAATAGTTAGTTGTAAGGACTAGATTTCTGCAACTCCACGATTGGAACGGAATTTGGAAAGTAATGGAAAAACACTTAAAAGTAGAAGCTTCCGGCGCTTGATGAGTTTATGACCCAGTTAGAAGTAACATGAATAAGAAGGGATTGACGACGGGGTTGACAGAAGATAGATCGATTTAGATGATGAAAACTAGTGCACCAACCCGACATGAGTAATATAAGGACAGGGAGATGATAGCCAAATGTGTAACCTTACCTTACATCTATGTATCAACCACATGAGCCACGTCGTTACTAAATTAAGTGGCGATGGCGCTGTATTCGTTCGATGCATGTTACGAATGAGCTTAGATAGCCCGTATTTCCATTCTATATCAGATTGTGCCTGTGAATTTAAATCAATAATAGAGAAATATTTGTAATAAGTAAACTTGACAATACGCTTTTATTTCCAACGATTAAAATCATCAGAATTATCGATTTTACGTGATGTTTTTATAAACCACAGGCCTAGCAGCTAAGGACCAATCGAAAGATCTTTTATTAACTCACAATCTTTCGTTTGATAGTAAACATTAAAAGTCAAACAAAACAAAGTTGTTTAAATTAATTTTATTTTAATTAAGTTGGTGATTTAATTCAGATTTATCGCATCAAATTTTATTTAATCAAAATGCAGTGCTGATGTCAATTGATGCGTAAGCTTGAAACACACTTGAAAGGTTATTTTGTTTTTTTTTTAAATAGCTTTTATCTGTTTAATAATGTATTCTTAAAAATATAGTATGTTTAAACAGCATAGCCGGCGTAGAGTCACGTATTTATAGTTTCTAAAAGGTACCTGAATTCTCTGATAAGTGTCTGACATCATAGCAATCAGTAGATTAATTAGTACCACCACCGAGACCAGCATATAAATTCCGAATACAATTTTGAATAAGTAATTTGTCCACGCGGGTTGCGTGTTGGTATCGTTTCGATGCACCCTCGTCTGCTCGGTCGTCGTCTGCCCGAACACAGCGAAGAATAGCAGCTCGAAGGAAAATAGCGGGTTCATCGTAACTGCGAACAAAACCCGAGCTCGAAGTGACCGTGGCATTACCTGTATGCGCTGGTAAGTGTCCGACATCATCGCAATCAGGAGCGTTATGAGCACCACAACAGAAATCAGCAAGTAGCCCCCGAACACGAACTTGAAGATGTTCTGCGTCCACGAAGGTCTCACGCTCGATATGTAGTTCAAGTCGGACAACGTAATCTGGCCGAAAAGGGCGAAGAACAATTTCTCGAAGGCTTCGATCGGTGATAAAGTCACTAGAAGACAATACTCAAATGGACCAAATTCCAATTCGCACGGATCTCAGCACGAAAGACAGGTAGGGGTAGCTTAATGCGTCGTCTTGTCATTTAACCATTGATTTAGTATTGATGAAGTTGTGTGTTCATGTTTTACATAGCATCAATATACCCCTACGAAACTAAAACGAATTCTTATCATTAGTGCTTATCGTAACAAATATAATAGTTTAGGATTTTTCAAATTATTTTTTTTTTTGATTGTAACCTTTGTTACGATAACTACTAATTATTAGTTCATAAAAACTTTTAAAACATCAACTAACTTGATGTCAAATGTGCACTCGGATGGGGTAGATTGATACGTGTAAATGTGATGAAGATATTATGTCCAGCAACTGTGACTGTTTTTTGAGTGAGATCGGTAATTTTGTAAATAGTTTATATCGGTAGTCTTATGAAAATGTTGGTTATAGTAGTAAAGTAAGCCAATTCCACGATGCATCATTCCACCCCGATCCTCTCTATGTAGCAATGATCGGTGTCGGCACATCAAACGTGCCACAACGACGACAACAAAAAACACATCCGTGGCAAAAAAAGTGATACCTCGAGACACTGGTGTACAAACACGGGACAAAGGCAGCGACAGCGACGGCATGCGCAAAACATAATGCTCCATCGAATGCGGTGAGGTCGGCCACTCATTCCACTAAGACTGTGATTGTGACAAGCCATGCGTCTTCCGTGTCCCAAACGACACCTAGAAAACACATCACTCGTACAATTCCACATAGCGTGTTATGGCATACAATTGTGTATATTTCATATTATAAGAAAACTAACCGAAAACATTTAGTTGACTTATACTAAGTGTTCGTTTGTATTGTACAGACCTATCACATTCCACATTCATTGTGTAATAGCAGCAAAGTTCTAAATAGTACTAACTTCAACATTAATATCAATAGACGATGGTAACATTCCCGATGTGACGGCGAACATTCAAGCCTGCAAGCGTATGGGTTCCAAATGAAAAATGATGAAGCACACCGATTTGTTATAATGATATACTTTGTGAGCCACAAATATATTAATATCGTTTATTTCTATCTCTAACGCGGACTTACGCCCTGTCGGTCCCTGTTTCCTCCGATACGATTCTCCGGAAGGATTATCAACCCATTGTGAATCATATGTTTGTCTTTTCATCCGAAGGCTATTATCTATTTTATAATAATTAAAATTAAATCGATAATATTATTATTTTCCAAATACTAAAATCAAGGTTGCTGAATTTTGTACATTTTGGTTTGTATTAATGGGTAAAAACTAAAATGTTCAAAGACTACATTCACAATATTCATGTATTTTACTCATTATGCAAAGTTTTTAGTTCAGTTAGTGTAATGTAATTTAAAATCTAGATAGTTTTAGAAAAACACTCACCGTCTGAAAAAATCCTCCTTCTGGCTTGCCTTGCGTACTTATTGTCTTCAGGTTTATTCAAATTCCTAAACGGTTGATTTAAAGCGACAATATGCATCGAGAAACCAAAAACAAATATAGCTAATACTGCAAGAAACCTTCCTAAATCTTTCATTAAATCGCCAATAATAATAGCCCACGGACCAAAAAGATGATGAAATGACAGGAAGTCTAATATTTGAACACAAGCTAATAAAAAAGATAGCGCAAAACATTGATTTCTACAATACATTAGTGTTGGCCAGTACTTGGGCATAACGAAAATCCAACCAACCACATGGGTCGCTACCCCAATCATTCCTAATAATAATACAGCTATTTTTATCCAACCTAAACCTGATTTATCACTAGGATTTGTTAATTCAAAAAGTAGAAGGCCACTCAATGAAATGAGGAGCATCCATTCATACCATCTCGGGACCAAACTTTCCCTAAAAATTGAATTATAAATTGGTGTAATTGCTACTAATGCTAATAATATCATAAGATAAATATGAGCCGTTAAATACGACATGAATTTAATAATTGGAATTTTATTATATCTGTGTCCTAGTGGAAGGGAAAATACTATCCAAACCGGT